TCCTCATCAACAATTTCTTCCCATGATAAATCATCACTTAAAATAACACATTTCATAATCAAATGTTTCCATTAATCCAAATAGAATTAACAAAAATAATTACTTTCCCAGAAGTGATGTAAAACAACCACGATGGTACACTGTATGGGCTTCAACAGTAATTAGTCTAATTTAGTAATACAGATTTAACTCAATATATTTTTACTCTTGTGATCTAAGCATCATTAAAATATTAAAGTATTGTACAAACTTCTTTGAACAAAGACTTGACCACGTTTTTGAACTATTTGAGTCCACTGATTATAAGCGTATATTCGTAATTAACTGAGTCAAAAAAATTCCAAATTTAACGACTACCATTAGACAATAATTGTAACTTATCAGTTACAATTTCAAATAATCCATAAAATAAATTATAGCACTTCAAAATATTAAAAACCCACAGTTAGTAATTGTCCATTGACCATAAATATCACAGAACCAATTTTCTTGTTTATTTTAATATTCTATAAAGAATTTTTATATGGAACCAAGCATTAAACAACTTTGAAGAATTATAAATAACACAAAGAGTAGGACCTCACACGCGATCAAATGAAATCATGTTATAATCCGTCAAGTGTCGATCACTTAAGCAATTTTTATTGTAAAGTTAACAGTGCTTCATATAAGCCCATAGCAAGAAGTGCAATATTTTATCCTATGAAAAAATTAATAAGTTGATTTTTATCACACTGCTTGTAATGAAATGCTAATATATATTAATTAATCCAAGTAAGAAGTTGAAGTAACCTAAGTTCACTACTTCAGTGGTTTTTTTTTTTTAAATATTTATCTACACTAAATTATATAATCAATATAAAAGAACAAATTCCAAAATTATAGTTTGATCAACTTCAATGAATCCAACTTTTATAAGCATGTTCATAGAGTTCATGTGAGATAGAAACATGGTACGTTGTTATGATGCTAAAGAATACCATGAGTTGTAACAGTACTACTAGAAGGTTCCTTATCTGGGCAACTTATAGTTTCATGTGATTGTGGTTATGAGTTGTACGAATCAAGCATTATGTTTTTTTTTTTTTGCATATTTTAAAACTTTTTTTTCCTTCTAGTAACTACTATCTTTTCTTGTCTAGAGTTTTTTTGTATCATGAATCTACATAAGGTCCCTTTAACTAATGTGGTACTAGAGTAATTAGATATCACATGTATATATTCATGTAATGAAATGTAAACATGTTAATCACAAAAATAATATCTCCAATAATAATGGACTTGTCCTTAATTTATAGAATAGACATATGGACACACATTGATGGATCTAACATTCCCCAAATAACTATTAGGTCCCCACTAATTTTGAAACTTTAGTTAACATCTACTTACCTCATGCTATTATATATATACTAACGTTCGAATGAAGAATTACTTAGAATTCAAGGCAAAGAAATAATAAGAGAAATGCAAAGAACTTGGATTGAATTTAAATGTCAATTGTTAAAACTCTATTTGTAATGAAATTAAGAAAGGTATTTGAATTATTGTAATAGCTCTTGAAACTTTAATTAATTATTTTTTTTTAAAACAAGTAGCTACATTTTTTTTTATTAAAGCAAAATTTTAAATTGTTGTAGATCCCTTTACATAATTTTATATAACAAAATAATATCCAGATATGTGTCGATACCTGGAATTAATATTCCCCATCGCCTTGCAGGGCAGAGACCCCAAACAGCTCCAACTTCGAATATAAACTTTTTCCGACAAGATGAGCTTGATCCCACTGGGGGTTTCATGCCAATGGCGATTGCAAGGTTTGGGAGCTTAGCATTATCTGCTCTGTTTGGTGCTATTCCATCCTTTTTTTTTTTTTTTTAATCTTCAGGTTCACAGATTTCAAGATGCTACTGTGTATGGAGCAACTACTGGTTTCCCCTATTTGCCTTCTAGTTCGTTTCATGGGGGTTATGCTCATGGTTTTTATCACCATCAAACTCACGAGGATGGGATTAAGTTTGTTATGAAAATGTTTTTCTTTTTTAATGCTTGGATTCATCTAATAACAATATAGACTTTATGTTCGTGAGTTGAATTGTTGGACAAGAGGATTATTGGTAGTTTTATTGTTTGTTAGCCTAATGAACTTGTACTTGTGTTGAGCATAATAGTGCAAATAAGACTTATCAGCTGCTTTAGAATGTTGGGAAATTAACATAATTATATATAATTTTAATTAATAAATTCATATCAATATTACATAAACAAACACAAAATAATAATGAACTTAAAATAGAATAAAATATATACTACAAATTAGAAAGAGCTGGCATGCGAGTCCGAGAGTCGTATGAACACTGTCCTAAAGCAGCTGAGTCTCCCCGCATGAGGGTACTCACGGACACCAGCGACTCCAAGATCAAACCGAGACGCTCGCAACAGCTTCTCCTCAATGGTCACGCCCACTAAAAGGAAGGGTGAACCTAACTCGAATCGAAGTTGCCTGAAGTAAACTAATACCAAATATTTGTAGGTATGCAAATGTAATAATAGGCAAAAAAAAATATGTAGAAAGAATAGCAACACTTGGTGGAAGAGGAGCATATAAAAAAGATGGTCAAACTATCCATCTTTTAGCCACCTTGTTTTATATGCACCATCTTAATTATTCTTGAATAATAGGCTTTAAAATATATTAGTATGTAACTTCCAATCTATTAAGCCTATATCAATTTTATAATTAAATGACATGAACATGAAAGAATTAAATTTCAATAATAAAGTTAAAAACTGAAAATTTAATATAAAATAAGGAGTTATGTAGTTTTTAAAACTTTTATTTTAATTTATTCTAACAGTATATGCATAGAAAAATGCTTATGTTTTCATATTTCCTTGTGTTGGTTGATGATTGATAAGCAAAACATAGCATTTTCAAAGAATAAGCAAATAAATGAAAGAATACCCTTCGAAATATAAAGGTGATAAGTGGAATATAACTTAAGTTATGAATTTAGTTATCAAATATATTTTTTATTTTTTCATAATTTGTTAAACATAAATAATTACCAAACAAAAAATATAAAAAAATATTTTTATTTTTGATGATGCACAAATTTGTATTGCACAAAATCAACAGTCGAATATTTGTAAGAGTGTAATTAATGAGCAATAAACATGCAATCAATTGTAATTAATGAGCAATAAACATGCAATCAATTGTAAAACAATGAATAATAACAAACACACAGATTTATAATGGTTCGGTTTGAATGACCTACTCCACTCTCGAGAACGGCAACGGTGACCGGAGTTCTTTATTGATAAATAAAAGTCATTGGGAGAGTGTACTCTGGGTGAATTACAATGCCTTGGTAGAGAGATAGAGTTGATGTGTAGAGAGGTGTGTGTGATGTAGAGGTTTCAAGGTCGTAAGGGAATGTTCTCTATGTGGAGAGGGCTTAAGTTCTATAGGTTTAGTAAGGCGAGGCAGTGACGTGAGGGAGAAGACTTCTACTATTTTGGTAAGTACAAATAAGGTAAGATTAGATCTCCGATCGTATCTCGATATTCTCTCTCTCGTGCTCCTATTCCATCGGAGGAAGATCCTAAATTGGATTGAATTTGAGTTAGAGTGGACTGAACTTGAGTTGGAGTAACAAAGAGAAGAGAGAACGAAAGGGAGGCAGGAGGACCAACACCTGGGTGGCACCAAAGGACTTGGGTGTCCCCTTGGGCGGTGCCCCTTTAGGACTTGGGCTCTTCTTTTTGGGCTCCGGTGACGTGGGTCATTTTTAATTCATTGGTCGTGACCTAGTCTATTTTGGGCTCATTAATTTTTATTTTTTTTTAAAACATAAAAACAAAAATGTTACCAAACACACTCTTAATATAAAAAAAGAATTACACTTAGATCCTTTTATATTTATCACTTAATTACTCAGACCTCCTGATATTTAAAATATTACACATAAACCCCCTAAAGTTTGTATACACGTAACACTTAAACTCTTACTGTAAATATATCTGTTAAAAAATTACACCTAAACCCCCTTGAAGTTTGTACGCATATAATACTTAGACTTCTTAAATTTAAAATGTTATATTTAGATCAAAAATACTCCAATCAAATATAGAATATCAAATATCTTAAATTTTACAACTAAAATTCATATCCTTTTGTTTGATTTTATTGACATAAAATCAAAAATAAAAATTTAACTTTTTCTTAAAAAATTATAATTAGTATATAATTATATTATCTGTTGAAATAAAACTAAAAAATCAAACAAAGGGTCTAAGTCATTTTTAATAGAACATGAATTTTACAACCAAAATTCATATTCTATTATGTCATTTATTTAAATAAAATCAAAAATAAAAATCTAATTTAAAAAAAAAACATAATTAGTATACAATTATAATATTTATTAAAATAAAACTAAAAAATTAAACAAGGGGTAAAATTGTAATGAACACAATATCTTTTAGCTTCAATTGGGATAGTTTAGTATTTTAATTTGGTTATTTTAGATGACAAAATTAAATACCAATAGACAATATAATTGTATACTAATTACGATTTTTTAAGAAAAATTTGATTTTTGATTTTTGATTTTTGATTTTATTTCAATAAATGATACAATAGAATATGAATTTTAATTGTAAAATTTAAAATTTAAAATTTAAAATATTTAATATTCTATTTTTGATTGAAATATTTTTAGTCTAAATATAATATTTTAAACTTAAAGGGTCTAAGTAATATATGTTTACAAACTTCAGGGAGTCTGAATATAATTTATTATTAAATATATTTACAACAGGGATCTAAGTGTTACACGTATACAAACTTTAGAGGGTCTGAATGTAATATTTCAAATATCAAAACGCTTGAGTAATTATGTGACAAATCTTAGGGGTGTGAGTGTAATTCTCCCTACTAGTAAAAACTGAGTTTTGGCCCTTTTTGGACATTTTGCCCAAAATCGTTTCCAGGCACGCGCTGGTCTGGGCCTCTGCTACTTTGCGACGGTGGACGATCCTCTTAGCCTGTCAGCTTGACTGCTTGAGTCTCTCTCTTTGCGAGGAAGCAAGGGACTCGAAGGGGAAGTCTGCTTCAGAGCTCCATCGAGGCATCTACGACCACCGTTGACAGCAGCAGGTTCATACTTCTCTCTCTGTCGGCCTCTCAACAGTCTACTCTTTAGTCTCTGACTCTCAGTCTCTGCTATTTTTGAATTTTGTATTTTTGATTTTTGATTTTTGATTTTTGATTTTTATTCATTGAATCTTTGATAATTGATAATGCTATATTTTATACATTAAAGCTTTGATACTTTGGTCATACAGTCTTAGAGCTCTTGTATTGCTACCTAAGATTATATAGGGCTCTATTTCGAAAATTATGCAATTAATTAAGAGCATATTGTTTGATCAATTGAGCAGATTAGGGCAATTTTTTTTTATTTTGCTTATGGCCGAAGGTTGAGCTGGAGCAGATTAGGCAAATTGAACATATCTTGGGATGACGCTTCATGTTTTAATTATGCTAAGGTTTTGTTTGATGTGATAGTGTAGGGATATTTTTTTCTTGAATTCAATGATTGGTGGGTTGGTGTGAGCAATTGAAGGAAGCTTGAAAATTGTTTGTTGAAATTCTTGAGAGAGATACGAGTTGCAATACTCTATTTGGGTGCATATGTGCAATAGCTGGATAGATGATTATGGCGTTTAAATTGTTTAAGATGACCAAGAGGGATATTGTACCTTGGTCAACCATGGTTATGGGGCATAGCAAAGTTAGGGATATGCACAACTTGTTCGATCTAAATCTAGTGTAGTTACGGTTTTTTCTTACTGTGTGAATAGGTAGGGTGGTTGTGGGGGACTCTACTGGTCAAACTGAGGTCATTTGTTGAAGAATGAAATCACGTAATAGAGGAAGATAACAGAATGGAAGCTGCAGGACTAGTCATCATGAACTTGGCCCAGAATTTCATGCTATGTCAACGATGTCACTGGAATAGACCTTTCGACAAGATAGCAGGCGAATACTCGAGTCTGCGTGGATGGAAAATTGATTTGTACCTTACTTATAATCATGAAATTAATATGTTGGATGATGCATGATGAACAAATTTATATTATCTGTCTTTGTCTGCCATGGAGAACGGTATACAAGTAATATAGAGGTGGGATTATGTACAACAAGCAAATTTATATATATTTTTTATTTTTATTCGTTATGTCTACCATTGAGGTCAATCATACTTTCCAGTGAATTTGTTGGTTATATGATTATGTATGAGTATGTTGGTCGTGCATTTTACCTTATTTAATATTAGGTTTTATAATTAATAGGTGTACTTACTTCAATGTAACATGTTACCACTTACCCAGATTCAGTAAGAATTAGAAACAATTTTAAGCCTCATTTTAAAATTACAGGATTGCAGTTAAGGATGATAGGAATTGAACATAATAATGCTTTTGAGTAGGAATGGAATCAATATGGGAAAATGATAGAATTTGGGAATGGAATGGAATTTTCATTATAATTCTAATGTTTGGCATTGGTTGAGAATTAAACCCTGGAATTGAAGGAATGGAATGCACATTCTATTCCAATGTGCATTAGTGAAATATATTATCCTCAATCTCGCTCACAGATCTAGTTTTCTTGCGGATAAGCATTCCCTTCTCTTTCTGTCACGACCTATACATTCGCCCGTATTTTGGTATAAGTTTTTTAAGCCAGTCTTTTCTTTTCTTTTCTTTTCTTTTTCTGATTGATTTTTTCTTGCAGTTATAACGTGATTCCTTATCAGGGAATTGCTATATTATATTGCTATATGGTTTTTAGAGCATTTTGTTTGCTAAATTGAGATGCTCATGAGATTGTAACTGTGGTTCTTGTCAATTAGGAAGATATAAGACTATTTTCCAGAAGCTGTTTAGTACAGTTAGTTTCGGAATTAGCGACCTGTTTGGTGCCTCAGTGCATTGGACAACTTATAATTACACTGGAATAACCTTCTATCAGGATCAAAGGAGCTCATTCTAGTATGAGATAATTTTTAGATATCAAAGTTATGGAGTTTAGAAATAAGTTTGTCATAGGCTTTTATTTTTCGATTTCAATCATGCAATTCCATATAGTACAAGATAAAAGTATGGAATTCAAAAAGCAACTCTAATTCTCCTAAAATAAAGAAGGGGGGGGGGAAGAGATTTATGGAGTTTAAGATGTGACTCTGAGGGGATTTCATCTTACAATGGGAGCAATGTGAATGATTGTTCTCAGTTTTCGCTTTTTGAGATTGAGGTTAGGCAAAACAAGGGGGAAGCAGGCATCTGGGTAGAGGAGATTTAAATAGTTAGTTTGCCTATGCGTGTTCTCATTAATACTCTGAAGCGGCTTCCACTTGATCATTGGCCTTTTGACTTATCTATTGTTTTTTTTGTCTGCAGAAACAACTGGTGGTGAATTCCGGCAAAGGTGTTGCATACACATTGGCATTAAAGTAGAAGAAGAGGTTGTGCTTGGGAAGATGGGCAAGAAGTCCAACAAAAGCAAGAAATATGAGACCGGTGATTTGGAACAAGTAACTGACAGCACAGATGCAATTTCCACGGGATTTGGAAGTAATTTGAACTTGCATGAAAATTTTCAGGGAAAAAAAAATAAGAAGAGACATGAGGTGGGTGGTGATGGTGAACTCCATGGTATACATGCTAAAGCTGTAATTAGCAAGGGTGCTGCAAAAATAGAAGGTGATATTGAAGTGGAGAAAGGCCCGAGAAAAAAGAACAGAAAATCTGAATTTAATGAAGAGGTAACTGACTGCACAGATGGGGCATCTGTAGGGGTGGAAAATAATGTCAGATTGAACAAAGAAGATGAGGTAAAGAGAAAGAAGAAGAAGAAACAAGAGGTTGGTGGTGACATTGGACTCAATGGTATCCATGATGAAGCTGTAAATGGAATGGATTTTGTTGAAGTCGATGGTGATCTACAAAAGGATAAAGATCAGAAGAAGGAAAAGAAGAAGAGAGGATTGAAATCTATTGAAGATAAAAACAAGTTAAATGATGTAGTAGGAGAATGGAATAGGGGCTTGCAAACAATTGATGGGGCAGATGTGGGGAGTGATAGTGTCTTGAAACCAAGAAAAAACAATAAAAAGAACCGTAAGGAGAAGAGAAAGAAAGATGGAAGTGATACCTTTTCGTCTTCCATGAAAATTGTGGACAATGTGATTATAGGAAAAGATGCAGTTAAAGGGAACAGAAGCCCTGAGAAAGAAGGTATCACTGAAATGAAGAATTGGGAAGAATGGGCTAAAGAAAAGGAGGAGGAGGACGAGAAGAGAAAAGATAGAAATGACATTGAGGATTGTGATGTTGAGGGAAAGAAAAAAACCCAAGATGGTAAAGAGATTGGAAAATCGCTGAATAAATATGATGCGAATGTTGCTGAAAATTTTGAATCAAAGAAGAGGAAGAAGAAAAAGGATAAGGCACAGGACAGTGTGGCCAAAAATGGTAATACAGGGAAGAGGAAGGTCCCAGAAGTTGATGATTCTGAAAGTCCCAAAGGTAAAGGAAAATTGAAGAAAGTGAGGTTCTCTGGTCATGTGGAAATTTTCCCTTTGTCAGACAATCCAAGTACAGGGAAGGGAAAAAACTGGGAGGATGACTTAGTGCGAGGTAAGCGTTTCTCACGAGAAGAAGATGAAATCGTTAAAGAGGCAGTCCTTACTTATATTGAGGCACATGGCTTGGGTGAAGAAGGCCTGGACATGGTTATGCACTGTGGCTCTCACCCTGAAACAAGGAACTGTTGGAAAGAAATTGGGGCTGCCATACCATATAGGCCTCCTTTGGCCATTTATTACCGTGCTCACATTTTATTTGAAAGGGATGAGCAGCGTAAGTGGACGCAAGACGAGTATGAACTTATCCGAAAGTACCAGGAGAAACATGGGAATGATTGGAAGTCATTGGCTGATGAACTTGGCAAACACAGGTTTCACGTGAAGGATACATGGCGCCGAATAAAATTAAGTAACATGAAGAAAGGACATTGGTCCCAGGAGGAGTACCAGACTTTATTTGATTTAGTGAACGCAGATCTGCAAATGAGAGCTTTTGAGGAAAAGAAATCGAAGCATGGCATGTTGAGAGATAATATTCCTTGGGAGGCAATCAGTGACAAATTGTCCACTCGAATCAATGCCACTTGCTGTAGGAAATGGTACACGCAGTTAACATCATCTATGGTAGCTGAAGGTATATGGGCTGACACTGATGACTATCGCTTGCTTGATGAACTTTTTAAATTGGATGCATGCTGCATAGAAGATGTGAACTGGGATGAGCTTCTTGACCACAGATCTGGAGAGTTATGTCGTAAGCGTTGGGACCAAATGGGTCGTCACATAGGCCACCATAGGAACAAATCATTTGCTGACCAAGTTGAAATTCTAGCAAAGCGATATTGTCCAAATTTACTTGAAGCAAGAGAGGCATGGGATAGCAAACCTGTTGTTCCATGATGTGGCAATCAGAAACACTAATTCTGTATCTCGTTTGGGGATCTCCTAGATATTAATTTCTGTTGTAATCTGTGGATCTAATTATGTGTAAGCTGTTTGAACTTTGGCTTGGATGCTACTTAAATTTCAGCTTAAGCTTTTTTTCCAGAAAGTTGGAGCATCAGTTTGGACATTGTGCTGGTTCTTTTTCTTTCTTTCTTTCTGCTCTATCCCTCTTTATTGATATTGTTTTTTTCTTTTTTGATCATCCCATTTTAGAGTCTATAGAAGTTATATTTTGCGAGTTATACGAATGAATTATACCAAAGCCTCTTATAAGAAGATTTAAGAATAAACTATACATATGGTCCTCAAACTATAATTTTTGTGTTAATTAAGCTCTTGACCTCTCTCTTGAATTGTTTTTTTTCCTTCTGATTTCAAGTACTGCTTTTGATATATGGCAACAGATCAACTAGCCAAAAATTCTCAAATAGTGTTTATTTTTATGATCAGCTGACCCGGCACTATATCATATGATGTCTGAAAGTGTGATTATATTGCAATTTGTTTTGTCAATGTTGATGCCATAGGCTTTTTCATGTGGCTCTCTGGTGGCATCTTTTGCGTCCTTTGTCTGTTTTTAGTCAAAATCTCAGTGTTTTGCTAGCTTTGCTGAAACTAGTAAACCAGTGCGGATGGATAAGGGGTTGTTATCTAGCTATCGCAAAGAAGCTATTAGCTATGCACTCAACAGAATCTGCATATGGACTGATAATGATTGCTTTGCGGTTGCAAATCGACAACTTGTTTGGAGAACAAATCTCTTATTGAGATAGACCTTTATTTGTAGGAGTATGACGCTGCAGCCCTGTGGAATTTAACGGATCTCTCGTTTGCTGCCTCGGTAAGAACATCTACTCACAACTGAACATAATTTTTTATCACCTCTACACTACTCATGCAGGATCAATCAAATCTTTTTATAAGATTCGAACTCGAAACCGTGCTTTAATACCATTTAATACTATGAATTCAGACTATACGAAATTATCTTTTTTGGGTTAAGCTCACATGACTCTGAAACGCATTGCATAATCAAAATCTAAATCTTTGACTTATTAAACCATTCACACTTCTGTCATTATTTTAGGTTTTTTTTTCCTTGTATTTTATTATATTCTTATTGCACTTGAAAGTTTATGGATGCTAATTTACTATTGCCTTGTAGCAGATGTTTACTTAACAACTTTGAGGACTTGCCTGACAAATGTTGGATGGTCCTCAATTTTCACAGCTGCAGCAGGAGACTTACCTGAATGGAACCTTCTAACTTTGACCTCGAAAACGTGAAAAGGGTAATATAAAGAATAATTTGAGAATCTGGGTATAAGTTCACAACTCTATTTATCCTTTTAACTTTTCATTCTTCTACTTTTCTATCGTACCAAATGGAGCACAACAAATCCACCAAAGAGGTACGAAACAAAACTCGCCACTTAATAAAAAATCGGCAGAAAGGGTAATAGTCTAACAAGAAGAAAACATTCTTTTCAAAAAGCTAAAGGTTGGAACATCCCTCCAAGCATAGATATTGACAACTTTGGATTTTCAAAATTACTATTTAANCATGTGGCTCTCTGGTGGCATCTTTTGCGTCCTTTGTCTGTTTTTAGTCAAAATCTCAGTGTTTTGCTAGCTTTGCTGAAACTAGTAAACCAGTGCGGATGGATAAGGGGTTGTTATCTAGCTATCGCAAAGAAGCTATTAGCTATGCACTCAACAGAATCTGCATATGGACTGATAATGATTGCTTTGCGGTTGCAAATCGACAACTTGTTTGGAGAACAAATCTCTTATTGAGATAGACCTTTATTTGTAGGAGTATGACGCTGCAGCCCTGTGGAATTTAACGGATCTCTCGTTTGCTGCCTCGGTAAGAACATCTACTCACAACTGAACATAATTTTTTATCACCTCTACACTACTCATGCAGGATCAATCAAATCTTTTTATAAGATTCGAACTCGAAACCGTGCTTTAATACCATTTAATACTATGAATTCAGACTATACGAAATTATCTTTTTTGGGTTAAGCTCACATGACTCTGAAACGCATTGCATAATCAAAATCTAAATCTTTGACTTATTAAACCATTCACACTTCTGTCATTATTTTAGGTTTTTTTTTCCTTGTATTTTATTATATTCTTATTGCACTTGAAAGTTTATGGATGCTAATTTACTATTGCCTTGTAGCAGATGTTTACTTAACAACTTTGAGGACTTGCCTGACAAATGTTGGATGGTCCTCAATTTTCACAGCTGCAGCAGGAGACTTACCTGAATGGAACCTTCTAACTTTGACCTCGAAAACGTGAAAAGGGTAATATAAAGAATAATTTGAGAATCTGGGTATAAGTTCACAACTCTATTTATCCTTTTAACTTTTCATTCTTCTACTTTTCTATCGTACCAAATGGAGCACAACAAATCCACCAAAGAGGTACGAAACAAAACTCGCCACTTAATAAAAAATCGGCAGAAAGGGTAATAGTCTAACAAGAAGAAAACATTCTTTTCAAAAAGCTAAAGGTTGGAACATCCCTCCAAGCATAGATATTGACAACTTTGGATTTTCAAAATTACTATTTAAGTCCCTTGACTAATACATAAAAATATTTAGGAACTATAAAAGACTCTTGCAAGACATAACAGGCTTAAAAATGTATGATTAAACCAAATCAAAATATTCATTTTGAATTGACTAGATAAATTGGATAGCCTTTAGTAAAATTGTCATAACTCATCGTAAAAAACTCTAAATGATTCAGTGTTTGTTGCGTCAGACAGTAAATTCATAGAGTTTTTCAAATAGTATAGGCTTTGCATCATGAATGATTGTTAATTGGTTCAAGTTTTTTTTGAAGAAAGTTAATTCAATTTTTTTTTTGTTCAACGGTTAAATATGTATGAGCCAACTTATGTACATCTCTATTAATCCCTTTTTCGATTCGGTCAAAGACAGGTCATCTACGCCGAAACTAGGGTATTCATGAGAGATAAATCTTTCATACCTTAACCTTAAGGAATTATAAAAATTCGAACTCAATATATTTGAGTTTATAATTCATCTCTATTACCACTTGAATTACTCTTTAAAATTACTTAAAAATTTGAAGAGTAACCAAACCTTCTATTTCCTTCCCAATTCAATTGGGCTTAAAATTTCACTTTTGAGGTAGTCGTAGAACACTCAATGTTACACTTCCAACTCCAAAAACATGAGTAGGCTTTGAGTTTATTTTTAATGTGATATTTTATTTATTTGAAGGATCATAATTTGTCTGACAAGTTAGCTGTAGGCACCTATGTACAACTGAATTAGGATGAGATCCATCTCCACACATGTCAAAGTTATTTATCATTTTATGATAATTTTAAAATAAATTTACTAAAATGTGATATTTTTTAACTTTTTTACTAAATTATGATACATTTTAAAAAATAGAGTTGTTTTTTTGAATAAATAAAAAACGAGGTTACTGGCTCCGCTTTTATTTCAAAAACTCCGATTTTAATGGTTAGTTGGAAAAAACTACTCATTGTTCGAGTCAAACGTAAATGAGGTTGTTAAGCCCAATGAATTCTTTAAAAGTGGAGTTATTGACTCCGATTTTTAAAAAGTTTTGAAATTTAATAAATAAATTTAAAAATACCGTATTTTAAAAAAATTGTTTTAAAATTGTTGTAGAATTGTAAATAACTCCCACACGTCATCCCCGGAGTCTAACGATGCCACTTTGTCTCCACTGAAAATTGTAAGACCTTCCCATGTTTGGTCAAAAACATCTAAGAAAGGCCACCATTAATGTGATCAAATTAGGACTGAAATTCTAATTTCGACATGTGGATGTTATTCTTCTTATTATTTCCAATTTTGCATGTTAAAAAAGACGACAAGGGATAAAAATAATATATAATAGAACTAGTTATTATTTGTACTTTGAGGGTAAAAAATAAAAAAAAAAATTTTTAATCATAAACATATTTATATTTACACTTAAAATCAAATTATAAACATAGAACATAGAGAAAAAAATTTAATGGTGGTGGTGGGCGGCAAAGTGGTGGTGAGAGACTGTGATAGTTGTGGTAGGCAATGACAACTGTGGTGGTATTGGCAACCATGTGTGACAACGATGATGGTGATGCTAGATTTTGAGTGACAACGATGATGGTGATGCTAGATTTTGAGTGACAACGATGATGGTGATGCTAGATTTTGAGTGACAACGATGGTAATAGTAGTTATAGGTGACAACGGTAATGGTGGTGAGTGTGAGTGATGGTGGGCGATAATGAGTGCTTATGGGCTACGGTGATTGTTAGTAGTGATGAATGACGGTGGTGGTAGTATATGTGGGATGATAATAGTAATAGTAATAAATATAAGAATGAAATAATAATAGATGTAGGTGGTGACAGTGGACGACCGTAGTAACAATCGATATTGGTTGATGATGGTGATGATTGTGATAGAGGTGATGGTGGGGTAATGAAGGTAGTTATGGTGGGATGACAACATGTTTTGTAAAGAAGTAATTTTAAATAAGTAAAAATTAATTTTTATTTTTTTACTTTTACTTTTAATTATTTAAATTGTAAAACTACTTTTGACTTATATAAAATTCATTAAAATAAATTATTTCAATCACTATTTTTTTTAAAAGTGTTTATGAAAAATCAGAAGTCCTAAAAATACTTTTAAATAAGTAAAAATTGAGGGTGAGTTCCTTTAGATGGACTTATAATAACTTGAGTCTTGAAAATAAACTTATTTGAAGGTAAGTTCATGTTTAAATTTATATATAGGTACTTAAATTCATTTATTTTTTAAATCTCAAAATTAACCCTAACGATGTTAATTTTATCCAATTATAAAAAGTCACATAAGTTAAATCATTGAAGTATATATAGAAACTCTTGACTGAGTTATAGATTGAAACAATTTATTAAATATTATGATAATTAACAAAAAATTTATATAAAAATTATATATTCTGATAGTTATATATGAGAAGCTTAATGTACGAATAGATTGTTAATCTATCAAGTCAAAATCAAATCACAAATTTTTTTTAACAACAATAATGCATAATATAGAAAGGCTGAATAATGTCAACAACGTTCAATAACATTCATATTACTGTATGATTGAAATTATAATTAAGGTCATGTTACCAGTACAGTCATGTTACTGTACTGACACTAATGTTATTATAGTGAATTTTAACATATAATTACAACCTTGAGACATATATTATGTAACATACACTTTAATATTCATAGTAACATCAAAATTTTGTACTNGGTAATAGTAGTTATAGGTGACAACGGTAATGGTGGTGAGTGTGAGTGATGGTGGGCGATAATGAGTGCTTATGGGCTACGGTGATTGTTAGTAGTGATGAATGACGGTGGTGGTAGTATATGTGGGATGATAATAGTAATAGTAATAAATATAAGAATGAAATAATAATAGATGTAGGTGGTGACAGTGGACGACCGTAGTAACAATCGATATTGGTTGATGATGGTGATGATTGTGATAGAGGTGATGGTGGGGTAATGAAGGTAGTTATGGTGGGATGACAACATGTTTTGTAAAGAAGTAATTTTAAATAAGTAAAAATTAATTTTTATTTTTTTACTTTTACTTTTAATTATTTAAATTGTAAAACTACTTTTGACTTATATAAAATTCATTAAAATAAATTATTTCAATCACTATTTTTTTTAAAAGTGTTTATGAAAAATCAGAAGTCCTAAAAATACTTTTAAATAAGTAAAAATTGAGGGTGAGTTCCTTTAGATGGACTTATAATAACTTGAGTCTTGAAAATAAACTTATTTGAAGGTAAGTTCATGTTTAAATTTATATATAGGTACTTAAATTCATTTATTTTTTAAATCTCAAAATTAACCCTAACGATGTTAATTTTATCCAATTATAAAAAGTCACATAAGTTAAATCATTGAAGTATATATAGAAACTCTTGACTGAGTTATAGATTGAAACAATTTATTAAATATTATGATAATTAACAAAAAATTTATATAAAAATTATATATTCTGATAGTTATATATGAGAAGCTTAATGTACGAATAGATTGTTAATCTATCAAGTCAAAATCAAATCACAAATTTTTTTTAACAACAATAATGCATAATATAGAAAGGCTGAATAATGTCAACAACGTTCAATAACATTCATATTACTGTATGATTGAAATTATAATTAAGGTCATGTTACCAGTACAGTCATGTTACTGTACTGACACTAATGTTATTATAGTGAATTTTAACATATAATTACAACCTTGAGACATATATTATGTAACATACACTTTAATATTCATAGTAACATCAAAATTTTGTACTCAGTAACACATCAAATTTTACAAAATATAAGATAATAATTTTTTACAATAACATCAACTTTCAAATGATTTTAGTGAAAATACGATCCACAAATTAAAAATTTACAAAATAACGGTAATAACACACAATCAACAGTTGAATTATGACACTCAACGCCAATTGTGAACATCAAAACATCGAAATTTTGAATTTCATTTTTCGGTTCACGTACAGTAACATCAATTTTTTCCACAATAACACAACTAAGGAATATTCTATTGTTTTGCGCAACAAAAAAATCAACAAAATCAAAATCTATAACACTTTAATTTAATATTAATGTACGAGTTCTCTTAAATCTTAGTTACAAGGTTAATGTCCACTTTGACAGAATTAAATTTCCAATTGTTATTACTTTTTTATCAATGTTACTTTTTTTTTGTGAGCATGTTACTATTTTTTAAGTAATTATGTCACTGTCTTTGTTGAGTACGTTGTTATGTTATTTTTTAATATTAATATTTTGTCGATAGAGTCCAATGTAAACTGAAATAACAAATTAAAATTTTATTTTATAGAATATAATGACTTTAAAATTTGAATGCGAACAAATTTTGGTAAATACCAAATTCTTGTTTTTCAAATAAGAAAACATTATGACTTGGACTATTGTACCCGAATTTGAAGACGATTATGAAAGAGATATGTATATAATTGATTATTATGTCCATAAACGTCATTTATAACATTTCTACAGGAAAATGTTACAATAGTAAAATTGACAAAAAACAGACTTAAAACCAAATAAATTTTATTGACGAACTTATCTCAAAATAAGTCCATATAAGAGGATCGGCCTCCAAATTTTCTTTTAAAAAATCATCCCAAACACATCCTTAGAGAATCTATTTTCTCTATTAAATTTGAAGAATTAATATTAACCATCAGATTAACTTTAAAATAATCTCAACCACAAAAAAAATTCATTTTTTATGTTGTCCTTTATTATATAGATTAACCAATAAGTAATGTACATAAAATGGGATATAAATACTGTAAAAACTGAAAAGTACTTCGATTCCTATTAAACATAGCATGGCAGCCAATATAACCATACGTAATGAACAACTCAAACGTAGAAAATAGTAATGCAGGGGAGATTTCATAGCTGAGTTTCCGAGTACTGCTGAAACAACATTCCTACCAGAAGTCTTAAATCAAACCCTTGAATGGATTTTGTCTGCAGGAATCAACCAAAATCGATCCAGATGCTATAATAAGCAGTAGCTTAATAGCAGATTAGCTGAAAAATGGATCAGAACAACACCGACATAGTCCATTCACTAGAAAAACATCTCCACAGGTTCTTTTTTCTGTTTAGGATCCTAAGAGTATTCAACTCGAAACGTATAGTTGTAGTGCCTGTTCTAAAATTTTTAGAGCTTTCCTCTACTGTACAAAAAAGTGAAAAAACAAATTCATTCAACTCAGCTGCTAAAAAAAAATATTCATATCGGTATCATGCTTTCCCAAGAAACGCCCAAACTAACGATGGACATGGACAGTAAAGATTTGCATGCAGAAAGCAGTAGATAAAGTGCAAAATGATAGAGGATTCAGAAACGCATATCAGAGGAGAATCTTGGCTATTTGCATGAATATTGAGCCAAAGGGGATTCCAAAAATAATTTATTAGAAAAAGAATGCAGATAGGAGTTTGCACCGAGGACAGACATGTACAAGTGGGAGCCCAAGCAGGAATGCAGGAGGAAATTTGTTACCTCACCACGATATCTGTATTCAAAATCTGCTTTTGAAGAAAACCCAAACAGAAAGAAGTTACAAAACAGCAAAGGCAACACAAGTAATAAGGGAACAAAATTTATGCAGTGTTGCACTACCATTCTGACCAATTATATTCATCTTTTCACTCCAAATGCTCATCCCGAGAGGCCAACCACCTTTTCTTCTTCTTTTTAGTCTCAAACAAGGGCACATCTGAGTTATGAACACCACATATCGAAAGCACTATTAATGTCATGTCAGATTATGGCATTTCAAACATTTAAATATAATGTACTGACTGAACAGCCAGGATATTCAAGTCATACGGAAGTTGCAAATAGAATGGCAATGCAAACAGAAGAATCTAGTATGCTGTTTGATAGGTGGATTTTGTAAGTTTTTCATTCAGCTATTATGCATGCTACTCTTGAGTCTTGATCATTTTCCCTACAGTTAATCAGAATCTAACTATCAATGGTAAAATGGGCTTCTACTATCATCTCACCAAGTATATTTATCATTTGGACAAGCAGGACCAAGAATACCAGAGGGGCCCACAAACTCCCTGCAATTCGTGCATTGGAGCATTTGCAAAGTAATCCACAGTTTTTTGTGGTTTTGACTGTTCCGATAATGGATTGACTGCGGATTGGGATATTTTTAGTTCCTTCCAAAAGGTATAGAAAGTGCAGCTATAAAGGTTCAACCGCTTGAGTAGATACATTCTCAAGCCACCACCAAGCCCACAAATTGTTTCTGTATGTACTAATCTTTGCTAGAACTGTATTAGATTTCAACTACCCAAACACTTCAGCACATTTTCATATGGATGCTCTGGTGATGCTCTTGACGACATAAATTTCGTAAAATCCACATTCCATGCTCTTGGTCCAACTACTGCACTCACTCTCGCTCTGAGACTTGCTTTAGTATCCTAGGGCACGAAAAGTATATACTTTCCCAATCCATGGAAAGGCTGGACATATGAAGCAAAAACTGTTTCAGCAGAAAGCATACATTAGGTGATATAACACCAGCAACTTCCAAACTTTGAATCCTTATATGCCTCCTTACAAAATCTCACTACATGCACGAGCTGACAATTAGGGTTTTGACAAACCATCCATCACCCATCTCATTCCATCTTGTGTTTACCATCCTTCTTTCCTTGTTCCTTGACCTTCATCTTTTTCTTCTTTCCTTCCTTCTGTCTTTATTATTCATGTATCATAAAGAACCAAAGTAGTTCCAATTAAAGGTTAGCTGAATGTATGATTTCTCCACTCATAGCTCTCCATTTTGAATCTTTAAGCCAACAAAAACATTTATTTCAGTAAATTGAAAGAACAAACTATGTTATGCACAATGAGACTGACAAATCCAACATTCAGCTTCTTTTTGACCTCCCCCATGACACATAAAATAGCCAATGCTCAAAGAGGAAAATTGCTCCGTTTACCTCCTTCAGGATATATTGAGTTGTAGTGCACTTCTGCCCAAAAGCTCAAGTGAATAACTGCAACAATTTTATCTATTCAATAAGAAAGCCACTGAAAAATGACAAGATATCAACCCACAGAAAGCGAGGTAGAGTTTGTTTTTTATGTATATCAAGTGAAGCAACATTCTGCTGAAATTTATAATTACAAAAAATTCATACAACAAATGAAGCGATAAAGAAGAAGAGGAATGCTTCCAGAAACTAATTGACCAGGTGATAAAATAAAACTCAAAATCTTATATGCAAGGAGAAGGAGAAATATCCTCGCAATTAACATTCCGGAAGAGATAATATCGTAAAAAATTAACAGTTAAAATTCTTAAAAAAAAATTCTATTTCCTTTGACTAAAAATTCTACTGAAAATGAAGAAAGGGAGAAGGCTAGAGAAAGAGGGAGGGAGGGAACCGAACTAAACAAGAACTATGCTGTGCCTATGGCTAAACAAAAGTGATATAAAAAAACCTCCAAAAAGTGTCTACAAGAGCTTAACTAAGCTTCTAAGAATGGGTTACATCATTAACCCATGATGATGGCATAAGCCACATGCCATGCAGAGTTGTAAACCTAGGCAATTTCAGCTCATTTTGGATTTGGCCGATATACAAATCTAGATTCTAGATAAACAAAGACCAGAGACATATCATCAAATCTAATAATTTAACTATCTTACATAAATGATGACTTTTTATTCATTTGCTATGAAGAGTTTTCGCTAACCGGCTCTTAATTTAAATAAATTCACATTGAACCCGTTCTCATGTCGTTCTATTTCTTCTACTTTAGTATGTCTCCTTCTATACTTGAAGCATAGTATCCTCATGCTTTTAAAGTCATGAAAAGCCCCTTCAACCACAGTTGCTCCTGAGTCCTGCCAATCTAGGGAGTGGATAGGGGTGCACAATGCACAAAACCAACTTTTGTTTCATTGCACAATGTGGCTACATCAAATGGAATTCATATCCTCATGATAGAGAAATACAAGTTTTACACTACACAAGTAATGGACCCTGCTTTTTTGAGTCTTAATCAAGGGAAAAATACGGATGTCTACCAATGGTTTCTCATATTCATGTACTCCATCGATGTAATAAAAGATGAGTGTTGCAGTACAATGCGTAAGCAAAGGCCAAAAAACAGCATCAAAATTCACCTTTGAGTCCTTGACCTGACAGAAATTTTTGTCCCCTTAGGCCCTTACCAAAATTGCCATAATCAAGTCACTGCCTTGTTCCTTTCTTCCACATTTTGAACCCTCTTACATACTTAACAAGAACACTTTTGTGCTAAGGATAGCAAATAGAACTAAGCTAAAGGTCAAGATGAACCAGATTCCAGTGGCTACAGATCACCAAATTCAATTGATGGCTCCATCCAAGCCCAGTCAGTGGATTCTGTGGCTTCTAAGGGCTTTCAAACTAAGCACTCCACTCAAGAATGGAAAGGTGGAATATCTTCATGTGACACCATCAGAGTAGTAGCATTCAATGTGGTTGACTCGTGTTTGAGCAGGCAACAAATAAAAAGGATTCTTGTGGTAGTTTCAAGTAAGTATTACATGGGAAAATAGCCAAACATTATATTAGTTTTTAGTCCATCCTTCAATTATGTTCATTTTCTTATAGTTTTGTTCATTGTTCTAAGAGAAAACAGGGGAAAGTAGAGCTATTATTGTTTGTGATTTTCGTCTAGCAACCGTTCTCAACTAAATCCATGGTAAGAGTTTATAAACATGACAATTATTTCACCTATTTCCCAATACACAAGTATATGGTTTCTATCAAAGTGTTAAATTTCTTATAACCTCCTACAACACAAGAAGAATTTAAAACTCGTCTTGCTGTCATATTTCTGAGGTTTTCAGAATGTCTCAAAAGAAGAAACCCCAGTAGCATCACAGATTAATTACAAATAAGCAATGATCAGAAAATTATGTAAATCACAAACAAAACATATTGATATACTTAAGAAACATTACTCGTGATGTAATACCTCGTGTTGACCTTTGAACATTTGGAAGAATCTCAATGTAGCAGGTGTTCTTGAATGATGTTATCACAAATATTTTCACACCATACTGCAACAAGTCATGAGCATGCATCAAAATGAAAGATATTTGTACTCAATAGACCCACGATTGCTACAAAGTTGTCAAGCATGACATATGGTTACCCTGGATCCTCAATGCCAATTCTTGGGTTTTATTTGAAAATGGAGAGCAAGCAAATGAGGGTGGGGAGAGAAAGAATGGAAAACAGTAATAAAGGAAGAAGAGTATAACTGAGGGGAGTGAGTTGCCCTCGCTGAAATTGAGGGTACCTGAACCTTGACTGGAGAGAGAGACTGGCCAGTGGCAAAAAGGCCGTGATACACTCATTGCAGCCAATCATGGCCCAACAACAAGCACGCCTTTGATTGGGCCCTCGTCCCAATTGCCGTCTCGCTGACACCATCCATCTCCTCCATGTTGTCTCCAGTGCAAAATGATGACAAAGGAGGAGCATTTTGGATGGGTAGGGGTTATTGGGGCTTTTTTTTTTTGTGGGGTGGGGTTGGCGCTGTCGGCTGAGGGCTATGGGGTGGGGAAAGGAGAGGGTCTACTGGTGGTTTGAATCGACCTGTAATTCAGATCTGCCACGTTTATCGTTATTTTAGGTTGTAGTTTCAATAGTAAAGATGTATCTGTTGGGATGGGTACGTGTTTTGGCACGGGGTTCGGATCTATATATATAATTTTATCTAATCAAACAGAGAAAAAAGTCCTTTTGCTGAAAAATTCAATGTCTCCTAATTACCCTAAAGGTTATTAATGGGCATAAAACTAGTGAACTTCAAAATTACCAACGTTATATTTTCCAATGTAGAGACTGTTTATTAAGTGAATAAGAATCCCACTAAATCTATTGTAATCATGAGAAGGAAAATATAGATGAAGTTGTGGAACCATACTGAATCTGCAGCAGCCTGCAAAGTGACATGATCACCCCATTCACCAACCCTAATTTCCATCACATGCATTTAGAGCATTGTCAGATCATATGAAAAAAAAGTTAATCCAAGACATAAAGTAGAACATACTTGGATATCTTCTTCAAATAGTCACCATAAGCCATGGGAACATAGGCCTCATATATCTCTGGGTAAGCCTTGAGCTGATAATCCAAGAAAATTACAACACAAGAAAACATCAAACTGCAAGTAAAAAAAATTGCATCCACCCAAACCATAATCATAATAACAAATTCATATGGAGGTATTACTTAATAAGAAAAGTTAAGAACCTGATTTACAATTTCTTGTCTCACAAATTTGTGATGTTCGGGAGTACGATAAAACTGATCCGATAGAGCTCGAAACTGACAAAAATTAAGGAACCATAGAGAAACGCAAAATTAATTCATGTCAGGCACCACTTTTAGTAATAATTGAGGCATTGTGACAAGAGAGTAACTCAATAAGCTACAAAACACGAATCATTTTCCCATTATATTATCCAAATAAATAGACCCAGACATATTCCAATAACATATATGGTGTTTTTCAGTTAGGTTTGTGGTTTTGCGGATGTAAATAATTCGCTTTTGAGCAGAACTCAACTTCTGAATTTGATCAAAGATAACCTAAGAAACACAGACACGGATACAACACGACACGGACATCCTAACACGCTATTTTTCAAAAAAGTAGGACATGGACATGTTAGGTGACTCGCTAAATATTTTATATGTATATGATCATATGATAAAATAAATATATTTTAAGGATAATCATCCAATTCATTCTTTTTTTAATTATAACAATTCACATCACGATATCATCAAATAAAAAAATACTTGATATACTGGCACACATTCATCATCCAACAATCAATGACTACTAAAAATTTTACCTTCAAAAATATTTCACTTCAAAATCTTAATTTTCATTCAATTTCAAAGAGACCAACCCTAATTTCATAATTCTATTTTTCATCAAAATACTTTCATGTAAAAAATTTTATCCATTTGTGTTTAATTTCATAATAGTGTCTAAAATTATATTTATAGCAGTGTCCTATGTCCGCGTAGTAATTGTAACTCTTTTATTCTATATCTTTGACCCAACTCTTGAACATTACCAAAAAAAATCTCCTATTTATAAAACTATTTTACAAGTTTTAAAAATTATGAAAAAACCCCAAAACGTGTCTTCTGACATGTCAGTTGTGTGCTATGTCACATGATTCGTCCAAAATAAGTCACGAACTATTGCTCCGCGTGCAAATTCACGTTTTAAAAGCAAATTCGTAATCAATTCGCACTCTCAAATTCGCGAATTTAAAAAAAAAATTGTGAATTTAATGTATAAACTATAACAGGGCCCCAAGACTAAAGAAACACACTAAAGCCTCGGCGCGTGCCTCTGCAGACTACATAAAACCTACACATATCTGTACAACTAATAAAAGTACCTTAATATGAAAAAAATTTGATTCTCAAATATGCCCTTGATTATTATTACAAAGTTTATTTAATTCCTAATCCAATAATTAGCGTAATTGTAATCAATTTAAGTTTTTGACCCTATGTATTTAGAGACTAAATTTCTAACTGATGTATGGATCAATTATCAATGAAGCTTGGATCACTTCATAGACTCTTCAAATTCTAAGAATTAATTTCCAACCAGTTGGACCTCTTTATATTCTCCATTCTTTCACACCACAAACCGAGATAGACTCTATGAATTCTTTTCCATCAATGATCAATGTATTATATATTATCTGGAGACCTTCCATTTAAGCATTAATATTTAGCTTCCTTTACAGAATGATGGACAAGGTGAACAGGTCTCTCTTCTAAGTCCTCTGGTTTAATCTCCACAATTTGATCTCTCTTATATGTATGCATATTTGTATTCTAATTTTTTGTGTGTATATCTATATAATAAGGGACAAAGAATTTTGAGAATTAGATCTTTTTGAGACAAACCAAAGACATGCGACGGACCATGTAATCTCAACATAAAAGATGGTTCAGATCATCTTAAGATTATTAATCTAACGAACCAAAATGAGTCTTGCAATTTTTTTTCTTGCCTGAAAGATTCTATTTTTAATTACCATGGAAAACGGGCAACAAATTATGCCTAATCTCTTATAACACTGAATCTTCTATATCCTCTATATCTTCCCTCATATATTCTTTCTAAACCTGTTTTTTTCTTCTGCCAAATCAATTTCCAAACTAGCCTCCGTAACTCTAGGGCTTAATATCCTTTCCAAATCAACCATTCCTTAGATTATGTCTCTACTTGTCCCACACCCATAGCCTCACTCTCTGCCAACACACAACACACTTTTTCCGCCGTTGTAGAACCATAGCCAACAACCGCTAGCGACAACACTCTTTTAGACATCTCCTCCCCCTCTCTTGTGTATCTCCTTTCTCTCACGTATCTATTCTCTCTTTCACGCAACTCCCTCTCTCTCAGTGTAACCCCACCCGATAAGCCCCTTTCCAATTCCTCCCATCCCCGGCGTACCACCTATTCGACAAAATGACAAGACGATATTCTGCCTTCACTCCAGCCCACACTAATGTACTTCTTGAATCAAATACCACTTTAACCAGAAAGGATAATAAATTAAAGTTAGAATTGTAATTGGCCTTTTTATCTTTAGTTGGAAGAAATGCATGGATGACTATTTAATGTGTTGGGTTTTGGATTGGATTTTTGAATTTAAGTTTAAGTTATTTCGTTTTTCAGAAAGCTGAAGCAAATTCCAAGCAGATCGCCAAATTTCAGATTGGCTATGAAAAGGTTTAATTCTTTTTTCCAATTCTTATTGTTTTTTAATAGAATTTTGTATACTTCTATTTTACAGACTTATATTATCTAAGTAGAAGATAAGGACAAAAAAGTCTATGTGGTAGGTTACCAAGGTAGCTGTTTCTGTTTGGTTCTGGATTTTGCAACACATTGGTGGTGTTGTCGCGGTAAGGTCTATTGATAATTGTAGTGTTGGGTCACTTATGAGAAGGACAGATTTATAGCAGATGATTCTTTGTTAACAGATTGATGTTTGTGTAAATTTATTTAAGCAGCCACTAATTTTTATTTTTTATTTTTGGTTTCTTTTTGATCTAATTGATATGTGTTGTTTGCTTTTGTCTTTGTTATTTTTCTAGCTACTGTTTTTGGCAAACAAATTTCTTTGCTCGTGCTTCACCTACATATGCTCAAGAAGATCAATTTAGTTTTTTTGAGTTCAATTAAAACCATGTTGGTCATTTTCTTAGGTGGTTACTTGCCTGTGTAATTGTCAAGTTGTGGCAGAAAGCAATTGCATTTAGCTTATGTCAAGTACCAAAGAAAAGCGAACTTCTGGTTCATGTCCCAAGCATGAGAGCAAACACTATGTATGTGATTGGGGTTCTAAATTTGATCTTTCCAATGAAAGTTTTTTTCAAACACTCTTGCTCAACATCAAAGTTGGCAGCTAATTAGGTTTGGCAGACTCCAGGGCAACTCTAGCTAAATTTTTTGGGATTATAAGTTCTTTGAGGACAATTTGTGAATATAAAATAGGCTTTACAAGGTTGAATCTAGCCAAACTACGGCTAAATTTTTGATCTTTTGGTGGTTCCATGATTATGATTGAGCACTACATTTGCAGAAGTAGGAGCATTTGCACCAATATTATACACTCTTGGGTATTCAGGCCATGTTTGGTTATCATCTCGGAAACAGTTTTTTGTTCTCAAAATTTTAAAAACACTCAAAACCTGTTTGTTTAGCATTTTTGTTTTCTAAATTTTAGGAAAAAATGAGATTTGAGTCAAAGAAACAGAAAATAAGTGTAGTTTGTTTTCAAAGTTTTCTTTGAAAATTTTGGAAACAAGTAGAACCATATATATATATATATATATATATATATATATATTTATTTAATTATATACATAATTATCAAATCGTGTATCGAAAGGCATATCATTTTTTAAAAATAGTGTATCGTAAGATACGGTGCAATTTTAAATAAATAATAAAAAAATATATATACTTTTGAAAAAAAATCATACACTCATAAAAATATAGCATTTCATTCATACTTCACCACCTATTCAAGTCATCAACATAGTTCGCTAATATTATAATGCAAAGTTTACAACCATAGTTCACTAATTCAAACTTCAAACCCCGAAGAGACTTTTAATCCAAATTTCTAACATCCATTTTGAACTCAATCCATAAAATTAATCAAAATTCAGAAATTTTTATACAAAAAAAAAATTAGTGTCTTATTTAGACAAAACGATGTCGTTTTAAAAAAAAAAAATCAGGTTTTGCGCGTATCAGTCGTATCGTACCGATATGTATCGTGTATCAGACGATATGGTGCAAAAACGATACATTACTACGATCCGTATCGTAACGTATCATACGATACGTATCGCGTATTGTACGATACTAACAACTATGGTCATATATATACGTATATTTATACATGTATATATAAAAACGTATATATGTATATATATATATATATTTTAAAGTTTGGTTTATTGAATTTTTTTTTATGAATGTCAATCTAAAAATAATTTTTTTATATTTTTTTACTAATGTTTGAATTACTGTTCAAATATATATTTAGACTGTCCAAACATGTTTTATTATTTTCTGTATTGTAAAATTATTTTTGAAATCATCTAACCAAACAAGTTTTTTTATCTCAAAAAATATTAAAATCACTTTCTTAAAACTCTTCTAAAAAACTGTTTTCGGATACTATTTTTTGAAATGCAAACCAAACAGACTCTCACTTTCTTGATGTTCTTGGTTTCATTTTTTTTTTTTGTTGTTTTTTTTCTGGTTATATTTATTCCCTTTGTCAATTTCATTGCCATCTTTTTTCTATCATCTATGTTTTTGCAGTATGCTCAAGAACTTGATTTTTTTCGCAAGCTGTCATTTAATGACTCGATCATGTGACGTATGGCCATAAGTTGCGATATTTCCTTAAAATATGTGGCTTTTGGGTTGATTTTGCTTGGATAGTCATTAGGTGAAGTCTACAAATTTGGTGAAGGATTTCGCAAGTGTAGAACCGATTGATGACAATCCATGAAAGATAACAAAAAATTGTTGAAAAATTTGTGATTGGCCATAGACATTTAATGGAAGTCCTATAGTTTCACACTCATCTTCAACTTGCCATGTCTTTAAGACACCTAATACCCTAACTTAGGGATTGTATAATTCATAGTTCTTTGTCTTTGGAAATAATTTAATGTTGTGGAAAGTTGACTTTTTTTAGTATACTGCTCACTATAGCAGTATTTTGGTTGATATCCCCTTTTGTAATGGCCTTAACATCATGTTGTAAATTTAGTTTCTATTTGTGGATTCCAAGTGGATATTATCGATTTCCGATCACCATCAAAATTTATTTTTTGTACTCATTTCATCCTTTTTTATGATGGAAGAAGAAGTTTGATGGTTCTACTGTAGTGGCATGGAATTCAGAATGTCTTTATAAACATGGGGTATACCATCCATTACTAAGTGCACGATATAAGATTTTCTTCGGGTTATGTGTATTTAGTTTTTATTTTCATTGTTTGTTGGTTGTTTTATCTCTGTTTCAGGCATAACTTATTTGATGCATGGGATTTTTTTTTCCTTTCTCAAAATATTGAGTTTGACATTCTGAGGATAAATGGTTTTTTGAGCGGCGGTAACAAAAGCAGTTAAGCTAAAAATCACACATTTGCTTGGGCTTTGAGAAAATATAGAATCATGAAATTAGGTAAAAAAATTAAGGTAAATACCTTTTTTTTTTTTGTGTCCATATTTGCGTATATTAATTGTATTCTTGATTGATGGTTTCCTAATGCAATACCAAAATTGATGAATGATTGGCACCAAATTTGTGGTCTCCATTTTTTGTATTACGCTTTCAGATTTACACCAATTGAATTGAATGATTGATAGTATGTGCACTAATTTTGCCAACTTTTGTCTGATTCTGTTCTTTAATTTTTTGTTTGGTGCTTGAGATTAAATGTGTTGTTTTATTGGTTTGATTACTACTTTGGGAACCTTTTGCATGTTTTCACTTCTCATAGATGCAAATCTTGCAATGAAAAGTGAGATTGATCATTAAACTATGGAACTAGAGAGGGAACAAAAATGTTCATAGCAGTCTCTGTGGTGAATTCATTGGTTTAATCTACGTCATTTTATTTGAATAACTTTGGGTTGGATGTGTGATCTTTACCCTCTAAATTGCCATTATTTATTTATTTATTTTTTGGTTGGCAAGTTTTGACGTAGGTTTACAAAGTGTTTCGAAATGGTGTGCAAATAATCTCATGAAATTTTGGATCTTCTCTATTAAGGGTCAAAATGACCTAAAAGAACCTCATTTATAAGTTGTGTACAAAGGTTGATATGGTTAAAGAATTATGTTTTTAGAAGGAATTCTGTCAGTTTTTTTTTAAAAAGTGGGTCCCTATTGATTGACAATTTTTTCTTGCATTTTTTTGTTTGTTTCATAGTGCCTTCAAGTACGGGCAATTACTAGTACATATATATAATTGAGTTGCTTTTTTATTTCAAATGTGACCGACTTCATCTATGCAAACGCTAAGAGCATTATCTAATAGAGCACAAATGAAATCAAAAATTGTAGTAGTAATAACAAAAGCATGTACCCTAAATTGTTTTTGAATTGAGGTATACACCTAGTTGTTTCTTTTTTTTAATTCTAAGAATAATTTCCTCAGTTAGTATGTGCGCTGTGTGTTGAGTTTTGGGTTAAGAATTAATATGCTTCATTTGATATTTCATGTGTCGTTTTGTTCTTTTAATGTATAGATTTGGATATAAAAAGGCTTTGATTGAAGATTTTGCTTCGATCGCATCAATTGCATGTTCTATAGGTGCAATCAATGGATATCTTCAAGTCAAAAACAATCTTAAAGTGGTATTGTTATCTCATATTCAACTACAAAACTCATCTCTATTTATTTAACTTTTTTCGCTTCTGTGTTAAGTTTCATTTGGAGAGGCTAATCAGAGTATTTTCTCTCAAACATTGCACAAATAGTGACACAACTCGTTGATTTTACTTTGCATAGTATTTTGATCATACATAGGAGTAAGGAATGCAATAGTTGATATTCAAGTTAATACTAGTCATGCATATAAACAAAGAGACCCTACCTTTTATATAGTTTTGTAGAGACAGAAATTTTTTAAATTTTCAATTTTATCTTTAATTAATAATATAAAACTAATCATAAACTTTTCTAAATCTTTAGAATGATTAAATATATGTTAATAGTTACTGCCGTATAATTAATAAGGACAACATAGAAAGTTCTTAAGAAATTGATTACACATATAAAACCAACAATTTTGCTTCTAATTAGCCCATATGTTGTAATGGTGGTAGTTAGTTTTTGATGCTAATATTTTATTAAGACCCCGAAGTATTGTATGCAATAACTATAAATAGATATTGGTTATATTTTATATTTTATCATATTGTTTGCCCTTTAAGTCCATTTTATTATTTTAGCATTTTTTTAAAATTTGAAGGGGAGGAACATTCTAATAGAATATGAATCTTGATCATTTCACTGTTAATGTTTATTACAGTTGTAGATTTTACAAGAAGAAAAGTGATCAACAACTTTAATATATAACATTTTATAAGCAAAATGGTATACGTGCAACACACGTGGGCAACAACTAGTAAGAATAAAGAAGCAATTTGCCAAAAGCCCACTGAACCCTTTTATAACCTTCTTTGATAGTAATCTTTTGCTGCTCTTCCGATATGGGATGATTACCTAGGCCAAAAAAAAGCCAATGAAAGGTGTTTGCTTATTCATTTACTTAAGCTATTGTTCTGATTCAAAAGCCAAATTAATTATTTAATAAAATTTAAATAAAATATCATATAATTGTATATAAAATTTAACTTTTAAAAATGTATTTTTAATAATTTTATACATGTAAATATGTGTATATGTATATAATATGATGCACTCAAACGCTCCCGCTTTCATAATTTTTTGAATTGTTTCGCTTTTGTGCTCCCGCCCCCGCATCCACTCTGTGTGATCTATGTTGCATGTCCTGAGCGTGTCCCTAACGTGTCCAGAAAAAATATAACAACAAAAAATTCGAACACTCATTTTAGCGTGTCCAACACGTGTTTGTATCCGTGTCCGTGTCTGTGTCCGACACTCTAGCCAAAATTAAGTGTCCGTGCTTCCTAGGGTATAACTATAAAGAATCAAGGTCGGTAGGTTATTTCAAGTCATAGAGTTGGTACCATCAAACTTATTGTCTTGCTGCATAAGTATGTGAAGCTTTAAACTAGGTTTGTGGTTGAAAAGTGAAAACAATTTCCACAATTTTTTAACAAAAGCACTTTCAACATATAGAAAATTTGAAGACTTGTGAGTTGAGAAGTAGTAGGTCTTGATGGGCATAAGTGTGACCACAAGTTCACAGGAATGTCAAGCCACCAAATTAAAATATACAAAGGAAATTATTATTGACTTACAAATACAACTCACCATAACCCACAAATTCCACAGCATACCTCATTTCTTATAGTAAAGATAAAGGTGAAAAAAGAATTGCTCAAGCACATGAGGAATAAAAGAATTATATGTCCACCCAAAGTAATACACTCTGGAAAGATTCATTTATTTGCAGATAAGCCTTATGTAATCTCACACACAATTCATCAAACATCCGCACAACATGAGGCTACAATGTATTCTATAGATTGCAAATCGGAAAGCTGACCTGGCAGTTCCCATCACCGAGAACCTTAAACTCCACCAATTCATATAACTGCAATCTGCAGAAGGATGAACTTCTTATTTATTCATTGCACTCAAACCATGGAGATATTGAAAGTTCCCATGAATAGAAAATGTCTATGTTAGAAGCAATAAGAGATATATGTATATTTTGAAAAAAAAAAAAGCATCCCAATAATGTCCTGACATGGGAGAAAAAAGATGAAAAATACCTATCCAGTAGCCTTTGATGATCTAAAGTTGCTTCATCAACAGACGGTATTTCTCCATTGATTCTAGGAACATGCTGCACAGGATCCAGCAACATGTTACCTTTTATACGGTATGTCCAATTTGACGACATCATCAAGAAAAAAAACCCAAAGCACATACTACCACAAACTCGTATAGCATGACCACTAGCAACACTGTGTTACTGGGTGCACGTCTTGCCTATTGGAGTTGGTGATATATAAACAAGTCCAGAGGTTAAAAACCTTCTCCAAATACAAGATAGAAAGTATGAAGCTGTGCAGCTATGTTTAATTTCTGATTTCTCAATCAATAATTGAGTTCACAATCTTTCTTGGTGTCCGCACACCATATCAATGTGTATTCCTAGGTTAAATTGTTAATATCACAAGTATCAACATTTCGTCATTCCATTATACACGCCATATAGATAACAAAATATAAATATCCAGTAAGAAACCTCCTATGAAAATATAAAGCAAGAAGCATGTATCAACAGCAATATTAACGCTAAACACAAGAAGGAGAGTATAAATGTATAATTAACCTGAGCGAAAAATGCCACATATTAACAATCTAGACAGCAGAGAAAACTTAAAAGTAATTTTAGCAAACCAAGATGACTGTTGAAACAACAACGCTTCCACATTCCCATCCCCCACCCCCTCTCTTCCACCCCAGACCATACAGACACACAGAACTACAACAACAACAAACACCCCAAAAAAAGTAAGAAAAAAAAATCAAGATTGCTTAATGCTTACAAAACATAGGTTATCATAGAATATTATCCAAATTCAGTTGAAGTACTAATGGAGGGAAAATTGAAGCTTCATAAGATAAGATCTTTAGAATTCATCCAACAAAATAAAATATTAAAGCTCTAAACAGATATATTGCTAGATGACACCCCACAGAAGTTACCCTTACAGGAATAGGAACCATCTGATTCAACCTTTTGCCCACTTCGCTATCAAGAGCATACTCGTCTGTCAGCTCTAAGGTATATGACCACTCCTGTCCACAGTATGACTTATCTTCAGGGCTAGAACAGGAACTGGAAGGTCTAATATCTTCTTCCTCATCATGGCCATTGTCTTGTCCTGCAAAATATGATGGATCCAAACATGAGCAGAAAAAAACAAAAAGAATCAACCACAGAACAGATTCACCATTTCAGATCCTTCCAATACCAAAAGGGTAGCTCTCCATGGTCTGACCAACCCACTCCTGTGGATAAAAAGATGCTTGTGGATGTGTTACCCCTTCACAAGAAGAGCCAGGTGCATCTGCAACTGAGAGGTGCGATAGTTCATCTTGAAGAGAGTGTGCAAGCAGCTCATCATGCTCTACATTGCTGCATCCCATATGATACTGATCTTCTTTGAAATACTGCTCATTATAATAATCGGTATCATTTTGTGTCACTGTGCCACAACACCCACAATTAGAAAATGGATCGCCATCAAAAAGCTGAAGACCCCACCGAACAACATCAGGATCTTGCTCGTATGTAATCATTTGCACCGACTTTTTAAATCAGACCCTCTGTTCGCTCCACCACTTTATTTGGCACAATCCCTTGCTGGTAATGAGAAAACATATACTCTTATCATAATAAGAGAAACATGACTTGATCCGTTTTTACTGATGAAATCATGTCCAGCTTCCTTCCAGAAATATCATTGTACTAAACTTCTGGTTGCCAGAAAATTCGATTCAACAATGCATCACAAGAATGAAAAAAAGTTAACCAATTTCTCCCACTATTTCACATAAAATGAGATATGATGTGGATGCAATACATTAAATCAACTTTCCTGTATTCAGAAACAGTCATCTACTTGAGCACGAAATTAAGGCTATTTTATGCAAATAATTCATTTATAGTTCAATATTCTACTTTTTTTTTTGTATAAATTCAATTTTATTCAAGGATAACTTACATAATGTGGAATCATGAAGACATTCATGCCTACATAGCAGAAAATTTTTAAATTGTGGGATTCTCCTGTCAGGTAAAAGATATCAAATCAATTAAACGGGTGAGAACCGGAACGGGACGAAGCCCTTAAGCATGCATATGAGTATGTGCTTGGAAATGAATGGCGAAGACGGACTCATATAGTCGAGTTCAAATAATTGGGACATAAGACTTAGTTTGTTTGGTTGTTATGAGTGTGTGCTGGAAGCCTCTTATCATCTGCACAACTATTGGACTACAGAATGGAAATCTATACAACAAATTATTCTACTAGATGAAATAATCTTGGAATCTTCCATGATTTTCCTATAAGAAAGTAAAGATTATTCAAAATTTCCTTGGATTCCAACCCATCAAAGCCAATTCTTTTTTTTTTTGCTTTCCTCTTTCTTGTCTTTTTCCCTTTCTCCGCCATCAATATTTGATTTAGACCAAATGATAAAGATCATACAATCAAGACAGTACAACAGAATTCTCGTACTAGCTTATGTCTGTGAATAACCTAAAAATAATAACAGAAACCACAGGATCGAAATTCATGCTCGTAAAACAGTAACCTAATCGTACATGACTTTAATTCGTTTCAATCCAAAAAGTACCTAAAACAACAAAGAGGGATTGAAACATACATCAATGTACACTCACCTTCTATTGTTCAAATAAATGAGAACAAGAGATCACTTCGTCTCCAATCCGACAATTCTTTTGTGTCTGTGTGTGTGTGAGAGAGAGAGAGAGACGAGTTGGAGACGCCACAAATGAAGATGATGTGAAGAGTGTGCGTGGGAGGGGGTTTTGGGGTGGTTTGTGAGAAAATATTCAATGTCATGGTACCATATATATGTAGCACTCTGCATCTGTCAAATTCTGTATAGGGTGTAAATATGTATATAAGTCATTTGTTTGAATTTAAGTTTTTTTTTTTAAGTCAAACAATTGAACCCGATATAACATAATTAATAACCGAAATAAGAACGCATGCATGAACCAATCAAAAAAATACGCGATATGATTCGTTTAAATGCTGATTATATATAATTTATATGTAATACTAACTTAATATGATCCGATTTATTAGACACAAATAAATAAATGAATCAAGTACGAGTGATTTATTTTTTTAATACAAACTCAACTTATTCGACACGATTGACAGGTCTCATTTTATAATAGCTAACAATTTTCAAATTCAATAATTACCACGTGATAATTAATTGAGTTTATTTATCTTATTTATTTATTATTAATCAGTAATACTACGTAAATAAAGAAGATATTTAATGTAACGGTGATACTATATAGTCATCATCACGTGGTATCACCGTAAAATATGAACAAGTTAGAAAGTGGATCCTATATAATTCAATTAATATCATAAGTTAGGTCTATCAATCATATCAGATAGGGTGGATTCATGTTATCATTATATTCGAGATTTATTCCTAACTCGTGAATTAGGGGCAAAAGTTGGTGTGTGTGTGTGTGAGAGAGAGAGAGAGGGAGGGAGAAGCAGAAGGGGGGGGGGGGGGGGGGGGGGGGGGTGGGGTG